AAGAAGAAGAAGAAGAAGAAGAAGGAGCAGCAGTTCCAACAAAACCTCTCAATAGCAAAATAGTCTTGATGGAAGAAACATGTGTCAGAAGACTGAGGATGCTAAAGAGGTCCATCCAAATCCCAAGCAGGAGCCCTGATCAGCTCAGTCGGCCAACCTGGACTTCGAACCGACGTTACAAGTCTGCTAACCTACTAGCAATCCTTGTTGTATGTCTCGGAAGCCCTAAAGAGGATTAAACAGGCTTGATTTAGCTTGGACTTAGCACATTATGCTTAAACAAAAACATAGTACGTCTCAAGTGCTTAGGATATAGCAACTAAGTCAAACAAAGGTCACTTGGACTTAGGTTGGACTTATGGGGGAAGGGTCACATGTTCGATACGTATCCCCTTCAAGAGGGAAATCTGTCAGAAGATTTTCTGACACATATCCATCATCAAGACTAAAGTAAAATGAACATCTGTCAGAAAGTTTTATGACACAGATCCTCTTCAAGCCTAAAGTAAAAGGGACTACTAATTTAAGCATGTCTAAGAACAGCACAAAAGCCATGCTTTCGGAGTTGGGGATTTGCAAGTCCAATCTTCGCCTTTGAAGCTTTGTTACTCAGCGAACCCATGACAACAACACATGGGAACTGGCACCGCCACCGCCGACGCGAAGAGATCGAAGAAGGATCTCGTCCGGCGCCTCCTCGTCGAACTTCTTCTTCTTCGCCGAGCGGCTCTCGACGTGCGGATCTGGCGCGGCGCTCGACGTTGAGTCGCGTCGGATCCGATGTGCCGTTGAGTCGCCGAGTCGCCAAGTTGAAGACTTTGGACACAAGTCTACCACCTTCAGTCAGTCTCTGTGGAGTGACCTTCAGTGGCCTTAGTGGACTGGCCTTTTAGTGACCTCATCGACGTGATCTTGGGGATGAGATTTCCCTGTCCCGTTGGTCACTCTGGGACGTCTAATATGTCTACCGGCCTCGCGGATGAAAAGAATGGCCACGGAGGTCAACACAGCTGGGTTTGTGGGACCAACGTTGCTAAGCAAATTCCAGCTGCAGGAGCGGTTGCAAATTCATTCAAGAGTTTACCTCGGAGTTGCTATGCTTTAGCATGTGTTCTATATGTCGCAAGCACGAGCTGATCTATAGTCTTGAATTGTGGAGCTTCGACTATGATAGTAGGCTTGGCTTGCAGCAGTATAAGGGCACATCAGGGGCCAATGTCTCGATATATTCATCATCACCGGGTATGCCGCAATAACTCCTTTATTTGCTTGTGTTTGAAGACTCTGAACTACAACCCGCAGAGTTTCAGTCTGGAAACACACGCATCTTTGCGACGGTGGTAGAAGCTGGATATGTGGATGTGTGATGAGCCATGGCTCAGTTTGACCCCTACCTGGTTTCCGGATAGGCAAAGAAAACCCAGTCGAGAACCTAAATATAGCTCAATCCAGCTAATACCACTATCATCCACTCTATGATATATACATTCATAGTCATCTTGCCATGGCCTCGACCTTGGCTGCCTCGCTGCGCCGCGTGGTGGATCACATCTTCGGTGCTTGGTCGACGTCTGGGGCCTGTTGAGCTCGCTTTCTGCGCCGCGCCGAACAAGTCGTCTGAGCCAAACGAGTGGTACCACGCCGCCGGCACGGGGCTGATGCCCTGGAAGCGACCTTACACCTGATCACACGTCCGTCCCGTTGATATAAGCCGCGGAAGCCTGAGTCCTTGGACTCAGGACCGGCTGGCCTTCGGACAGAAGCTGCTTGCGCGAGCAGGCTCCTCTCTTATCTGGCCTCCCCAAACCTGGCCGTTCTAAGCTTGAAGGAAGGAATGCCTTTGGCCAAGGGCTTGGAGTTGACCACTGCGCCAGGAGAAAGCTCTACGCTGCTCCAAGTGCTACACTGCCAGCACCGGGCCAGCATCAATCTATCCTTCCAATAGTCTGCCCAAATCTGGCGGTTGAATTCTTTACATTCTCGGAGTCGGCTTCTATTCTATAGTAGTCTGGGCACGTTCAATGAATTCAAATCCAACTTCTCCCAGAATAAGGGCTCTGCAGCAGATCTTAAACTAGTCCGGTGTCTTCTCCACCTCGCTGATCACACTAATTGAGAGGGCAAAATCAACGATGGTCCTTAAGCCGGCTTATGGTAATATAGTCATATAGTTTATCTGACCCGGGAGCCTGGAAGTCAACATGTTTCCATTGGTTCCTGCTTGTCCCGTAGGAAAACCCATCCCCGCACGCATGTTCAGGATTATAGCTGAAGATCTTGTTTGATGAAAGGATTGGACTCTGCGGACGTTCGATCATGACAATCGTCGACTACTGATTGTCGACTCGTTCTCTTCAGTTCCATCTGTGCTTGAAAGGCTTGGATTTGCTTAAGGAACCAGGAAAATAACAGCAAAGCATTGATTAATGTTAATTATGACATATTCCATCATATTTTTCACAAGAAGGGCATTTCCATCCATTCTCCCCAAAGTGCACATCAAAGTCACCCGTCACAGGTCAAGCAATACCGGCCGAGCCGGTCCGGCCCGACCTTCCTCACCAGGCCGTAGAATGGGACGATCCAGTCGTCCTACATCGAGGGAAGGCACGTTGCAGTTAACAGCATGAACATATCACGAGGCGAAGAAGCGAACTCTTTGGTCTGGTGGATATCTATAACTACTCCAAATCGATGTTCAGAAATGGTCGGACTTATGGATCATCTGAGATTCGATGAATGTTTTGTTTGAATCTGAGACTTATTGCATCTTCTTGCCATGTTGCGGGCTTTTGTGGATCCACCCTCTCTCTAAGAAGTTTGCATCACTTCAAGAAGGGAGGTGACGTGTGTATGCTTGACAGTAGGTACACTCCGATGACGATCACATCACATGGAAGTGGAAACCACCCTGTTGGCACAGGAGGATCGTCATCTGCCAGAGGGTAACCCAAAGCAAAGAGAGTCCCCGAAGAGGGGGGGTGTCTTCTCAGGACCGATGCGGAAAGCAACACCGATCAAGCAAATCCTTGGACCCGGGTCTGGACACACCAAAACCGTTGTCCATTTGGAGCCCGGAGGTCGACCTTAACAATACTCTTCCACCCAAACACTCCGTTCACAGCACCTTCCCGGACCCGGGATGGGTTCGGCTCAAGAGCTCCGTTCACCCGACCGGGTCCCCTGACCGCCGGCGGCTTTTCGCCGGTCGCACCGGACCCGTTGCGTCGGTCGCGGCTTTTTCGGCACCGGCTTGGCATCCACGGACAGCGGTCGGTGCGAGTACACGGCAGCCACTCAGTGGCTGCATGAGTTGAAGACACAGGCACAGGCTGCATGAGTTGAAGAAGGGACCGGTGCTAAGCACTGCCTGATCAAGTCCATAAAACATTAGAGTGTACCTGCAGCGGGACGATTCAACTGCAGAGTAGAGGTTCAACGTAGTCTCTTGGAATCCCGAAGGGGGTTAAACAGTTAGACTCGGGCCAACGTCTGAGAGCGAGGACCCCAGAGCAACTTGCGAGAGCGAACATATGCGCTAGCCCCCTTTCACACAAGTCCCATAGATACCATACAGATCCGTGGGGAGTTTGGGTAGAAAAAGGAAGGTTTCTTACCCAACTGACTGAAAACCGACCCATTGAACAGCTTCTTCTCACCAAATCCCTTGTTATCCCTTGTTCAGTTCCACAACTCTCATTTTGACATTGAGATTCTACGGATTGGATGATATCTACATGGCTACATGGAGACCAAGTATGATCCCCACCTGGCGCTTTTACGGCGATCGTGCACTGATGGATGTCGGCTCCAGTGCCGCCTGTGCCTTTTTAAGTCAGATCAACCTCCTTTGGAGGTTGAAGTGACTCTGGAGGAAAACGTTCTTTCCCGCGCCCAGCGCGACGTCTGGCTCCCTCATCACACACAAAACAGCTCAAGTCCGCATCAGCTCATGGTTGTGCCCATGTCCTGTATTCCTTCCTACTCAAACCCTCCAAACAGCCCGACCGGCCCCTGAAAACCTTAAAAACATCTAAAAATGCATGGACACCCTAGCCTAGACCTCTGACTCGAGGATTCAAGTCGAGGATTCGAGTCCGAATGTCTCCAAACAGTTCGGGTCCGGGGTTGCTCCAACGCTGTTAGCTGCTTGATGCTTCAGCTGAGACCGTATGATTCAGGTGACCTGCAGGGCCCTCAACGGCCCGAGGCCCAAGAAAGTCAACAACCTGGCAACTGAATATTCTGAAAGCTGGTTCTCAAACCACTTCTGCTTGCTCATCGAATACAAACAGGGAAAACATGTAGTCTCCTCATTTGCTCATCCTTCAATCTGAGAATTTCTCAGCTGGTGATCTTCAATCCCCAAAAAACGTCTCGCAGAGTGCCCATCGCGACTGGCGCCGGGCGCATTGATTCCAACGTCATTCGTGGCGCATGGAGCATGGCATTCCATTCCCGAGGAGAGCATCTCAATCACCTTCACGCAGGACCGGGCGACAGACTGGGCAGCCCAGGCCATCCATATGTATGACATAGATACCTACATTAGAGTCATAAATACTCTGAAATGATGGTAAATGATGGTAAATGCAACTATTCCATACATGAATTGGATGGTCTGGGCAGGGTCATCTGGTAGCTTTGACTATTTCAGAGACCAACAACACCGGTGCTGGTGATCCTGGGGTTCCCCTTCTAGAGCTACATGGATCCAACATAAAACAGCACAAATGAATACAAATGCTAACAGGAACAAACATGATGATTCATTAACTAATATCGAATCACATGGCCAAGAGATAAAGGAGTCTGCCGCATTCTGCCCATGGAGCTGATTCACGGATTGGAAGACCGTGGGCCAGTGGAGTCGACCCTCGACCAGACGTGCAAGTTCTGTTTTCAACTGGCTTCTGACGTGTGCACGAAATGGTTGTAATTCCAAATCCCTAGGGCTCCAGTCGTACCTTCTAAGGAGGTGGGACTGGGGTGGGTTTAGAGAGTCCAAATACCTTCTGAGGAGGTACGACTGGAGCCCTAGGGAATAGCTCCAAGGTGAACAGTAGCTTTGTTTGTACACCATGCTGTCACATCCGGGCCCTTCGATGTGACAGCTTGGGTCCCGAGTAGCTCGACAGAAAAACACCAGACCAGACAACTCGAGTTTTCTGGAAAAAAGAACATGCGTTGGGGCAACCGTGTGATGTTTCTTGGTTGAAGGGATTGTTGTATTTTGTATGTTGATATAACAGCTGAACTATATCAGGACCCTCCTGGAAGCCGAGGCCGGCTGGATCCGTGTGGGGTCGTCCAGCCAGGACACCCCTGTCGGGTCGGAGGGTGTTGTCCGATGTCTTGGGATCTTGGCCTCCACAAAGGACCACCGTTGTCTGTGGAACGAAAGGGACACGTCAACGCAGAAACGCTCCAACCATTCGCAAAGAACACATATGATACTCCAGGGAATGCACCAACTCTTGCTCCCTGCTACCTGGCTCAAGGTCACATCCGCAAAATGTCACTTGACCGCCGCCGCCCCTCGCACGGCCGTGTCGACGTTTCCCGCCGCCTCCGTTCAGCGTCGTGCCGGGCTTGGAATCCAAGTAGCCTAGCAGCGGTGGCCGGAACGGTCCCGCCGCGCGCGCCGTCGGTGGGTCGTTTCGGTGGGTCGTTCAGCGAAGGGTTGCTGGTGAAGCTCATCTAAGGCAGTTGAAGAGCATATGGCTGTGGATTCCAAAGAAAGAAACAAAATCCCCTGACAAGACCGACCCTGTGACCGTCACAGGTGTCCCCTCGAACTGGCGGACGGCTGCACGGTGCAACGCCCCACCGAGTCGAAGACCATCGGCCGAGGAGGCCGCGGAACAGATGGGAACGTGGTAGAGAAAAGGAACGAAGCAGGTCTCCACTGAAGTGGATGCTTTCGGACCTCACCTGCGTGTTTTGAGAAGCCACGTGGAACTAAATTGGATCGGATAGCATTGTTACCCAGTTGACTATCACTGTTCTGTGTCCAGTTCACTTGAAAAGCTGGCCATTTGTTGGGTGGATTCGCCATCAACTCGAACGGATCAAATCCAAAAAGGGTCGCCTGTGACCAATCCCGCATGGAAATCAACACTGAGGGAAAAAGGAGCCAAATGAGCCAGGACCTTTGTTGTTGATGGTGGTATGACAGAGCCAAGTATTACCAATTTTAGGACCCAAAAGATCCTAAAGGATCCCAAAGGAGTGTGGCTTGACCACGGCTATCAAGGCTATCAGGGGCACTAATACTTAAGGCCTTAGTTTTCCTGACATGACATGATTCGTCTTTAACTATCTTTACTTCTTGCTGGGGAAAACACTCAGCACGCTTCCTGACCTCAAGCTCTCGTTCGGGTCACCGAGTTCGTGGTTTTTTTCTTTTGACATTTTTCTCCGCTCACTCACGTCACTCCGCGTTCGGGTCTTCGCCTGTGATTCGAGCGAAGTTCATGTCAATGACCCGCTTGAGACCTCGCTGTTCCTGAACCGGACCACGGTGGGAAGGTCGAGAGGGATTGGTGGGATCGAGATCTGATCCTCGGAGACGAAGCAAGGGTCGGTGGCCCTGTCTTTCAAGCTCTTGAAATTATTCCATTCAAAGGTGAGTACCACTGAAGCAGTAGAACATTAAGCACCCCCTTTTACCACATGGGTAGGACTGCACTGGACAGACCTATACATGCGCATATATAACATACAATAACACTATATATATATATATATATGTTTTTTTGTTCACCTTTCTGCGGTCACCTCAGACCATCTTAGGAGAGCATCACTGAGGGCAGCTTGCAGACTAACATGCACCCTGAAAAATTGACCCGTGGTCCGTGGTGGACGGCCCTTTTCCTCTACAACCCAGTGGTTTGGGGGGTTCCATGCTTCTCTGCAGTACACGGTCACTGGGTATAGCTGCCAGGGTGGAACGAACCCTTCACTGGATTCGTGGCGAACAGCGAACAACGTGCTTGTCTGACCCAAACCCCTTTCGGAGCGTCGGCCTCCAATTCGCAGGATTCTCTTGTGGGCCCTTCATACACCCCATGTGTTGCCTTTGGGTCCGGATCCAGATTGAAGCAGAAACATCGACATCCAGAAACTGCCCCGCTCACTGAGCCAAGAATCTTGCGCGATCTTGTCCTCAGTGCATCATCCAAACTGTGAACATTCCCCCTACGCCCGCGACCTAGTGACCTAGTCGTCGGGGAGCTTGCACATGGCTGGCCACATGGGGAAGGGGAAACTCGCCGTCTAGATCCGTTCCATGCCTTCAAAAATAGAAAGGTTGTTGAAATATATGTATGTTGCTCTTCCTGAACACAAACACCCAACAATCCTTCGTTGCCTCCTTAAAAACCAATGTGAACATTATAACTGGGGAATGTAGGGCCTGGAAATTCCTGGAAACCCCTAACTTGTAGCACACAAGACTTGTGCAACACTCAACGCACACCCGAGATGTCTTGTTCTTGACACAGCAAAAGACTAGACTGACCCTGCCGCAACAGTCTGCACGAAGTCCTCTCGAGAGTCCCTCCAGGCTCTTGAGCCTCTGACACATTACATCTAAGGCCGCTGATACCCGGCCTTCCAGCAACATGTCTATCGTCGCCGCCCAGTGTAGGGCCTCCCTCGCGACCGGCGGGCTCATGTTCTGGGACAGCTGCTGGCGGCAATACTGTAGTATGATCGATCTCACTCCCGCCTTCTCTGCCTCCGGGAGTGAAGCCCCAAGCTGCAGCATCATCGTCCGCTGGGTTTCCAATACCATGGTTGCTGTTAGCACCCCCGGGTAGCGCCGCCATATTCGTTGAGTGGCCGTCAGAGGTGCGAAGAGTTCTTCTGGTGCTTCCTCCTCCTCTGTCACGGATATGTCTGATGTCCCGAAAACAAAAAATAAACTGTTTGGTCTGCAACACCAGAGTCTGGAAGGGTTGCACCTGTTGCACACTACATGGAATGGAGGGCATAGGTGAAAACCCTTTCTGCGGTTTTCATTAAAGCGAGGCGCAGCGAGGCTGCTCTTCCATGAAACTTCAGAAACTTTTGGTGCAAATTGAGCTACATTGAACTTACCCATAGGATCTTCTTAGTCTATTAATAGTATATTTCCTATGTGATAGTCTAAAAGTCTATATTAGTCTGTATATACTATTTAGCAGCAAACATAGTTTAGTCTATTAGCAAAATAAAACATTTAAACTTTGATGTGTTTTGTTGAAATTTGGTTTGTTGGGTTCGGTTTCTGTGAGAGATATAAAACATTTTCAAAAGATCTCTGAGTATAGAACATTTCAGTTTCAGAGAGGAGAGGTGTCAAAGAAAATACAGGAGAGGTTTCATACAGCGTAATTCAGAGAGCTAGAGTTTCAGACATTTTTGTTCAGAGCGGAGAGGTGTCAGTTTCAGAGAGTGGTTTCAGAGAGGTTTCAGGGAGTTTTGTCAGGAGAGTTTGTCGATTTCAGAAAGCACATTACAAAAAAAACTCATGAGTATTGAAGAGGCTGCTGTTGGAGATGAAATTTCCGAACATTCGAAATCGTGCTTGGAAAATGGTTTTGGTAAAATCTATATTCTGAGAAAGGGACAAGTGTTGAAACCAAAACACGCGAATGCATTTTTTGCGCAAAGTTGGAGTGCTCATCATATCCAGGCAAGGCCAGGAACCAGTTTTAAAGAAAACTAGCTCGTGAGGGCCATGTAGTCTGAATTAAGGCTCAACCTAATCAGGTGCATCGCTCAGGGTCGTCTCTTCGTCATCAGCTATCAAATCGCCGCGTTTGATCAACTCCTTCTCGGTTTTCCGGGCCAATGCATGCGCAGCATTCTTGCTTGGTGCACTTGTTTTCAGGTAGTGCCACTTCGCCAGCAAACCAGGTGTAGACATGGTTCTGAGCATCATTTTCTGCTTTTGAATGACCTCTGCACCCGGCATGGCAAAGTATAAAAGTTCAAGGTACCTGAATTGAGCCTGCGTATCTACAGTTTAATCATTGGGGAAATTGTGGACAAATTGAAAGTGACACATGGAAATATGAAAAATGGACAGGGATTTAGGAATGTGGACGAATGAAAATATGAAAAAACGGGAAATGGACAGGAGTATGGGAATTTGGAAATGGACATACACTTTCAGTTGCGTCATGGACAAAAGCTCACTCACTCATGTTTTCCCTTCTGACAGCAGGCCTCCGGGTGTTGTCAACACTTGGCCTACATACACATGCTGTCGAACCCCGTGAAGCAGTGAGACTTCAGCCGCGCACATATTCAAGGGCATCTTGGTGGGCTTGCTTTGCTGCAGCCCGTCCCACATGCTTGTCAATCACATGGTAAGCCCGGCTGGCAAAATTCTTGGCCGACATTGTAAGACCATTTTCATTGTCTCGCCAAGTAACTACTGGAGGTCCTGCCAAATGTTGCCAACGCAGGCCATGGACTTTGGTCCTGGAGGGTGCCAAAAGCCGCCGGCGGGCGCCGCCGCCGCGGGCGCCACCGCCGCGGCGTCACATTGCACCCACCAAGGCGTCGTGGAAGGCTTAGCTTGGGACAAAGCACCTGTTGTTTTTTTCTCGAACTTAGTTTTGACATTTTTGCCGCCAGTCTTCGGCGCTCTGTGCTCTCCCTGTTGTTTCTTAACATCTCTCGAAGCCATAACCACCTTGGCTGCATTCGCTGCGTGGGCCACAGCTTGTTGGATAAACCCCATGTGGCCTCCACGCCGATGGCCTTCCACCAAAATTCATGACCGCAGCTGAGCGTCATAACGCTCAAGTCCAAGTAGTGCAACGTAATCCACATGGCAAGGTCTACACAGTGCTGCGCCTGCCACGAAATCACCGGCAGGTGCTTTGGTGGTCTGTAAAGTCGACTTTTCGTGACAGGTGCAGAAGATCGGAGTCATTATATGTACAGATTTCGTGGCAGGTGCAGTGCTTTGGACATGGTGGCGGTCTTCGGGGTGCTCTGTTTTCGTGGCAGGTGCAGTGATTTGTGACTCTTGGAAATAGGCTCGTTTTCAAATCGGAGGACGTTTCGAGCGAAAGATTTGTTTTGGCATCTTGAGGTTGTCTTTGGAAGTGCTTTTGCTGCGAATTCGCTGCAGCGCAGGTGGGCAAAAGCCCCCGCAAGCGCACATCCACTGCCAGGGCTTGGGGGCTGGCAGGGAAGATTTTGGGGGTGGGGAGTGGGAATGTGGTTGCTGTTTGCCTGTGCTTGTCCTCACTTTGTGAAACACTGCCACCTGTGTGCGCTGATCACGTTCTGGTCAAGTTCTGTGATTGAGCGCTTGCTGTATTTGCCCACTTGTGTAATCATTTAGCATCCAGTCATCTGCATCAAGCTAAAAGTTCCTTGTGATAGCGCACACATGAGAGCATCCATACGATATCACATATTGAGAACGCATGTTGCAAACACAAAGTCTGGAGATCCAGGAGTTTTGCAGGCTCTAGAGGCCTGATGCCTAGCAACCTAGAGGTCACCTTCCTATAGATTTTGAGTGGCCTACAAGTTTATGCGCTGTCTGCACTTCACGCTCCTAAGTGCTGCGCCTGCCACGACATCGGTCTTGAGACCCGGGTGGAGATCCAAATTGAGAGATCTCTAAATCCATGCCGCGAGGGCCAAAAAGATCAAAAGGTGTGGGAATCTAGCCTAAAGTTCCGCAATCCCCAGTTTATAACCCAGTTGAACCCAATTGACACGTAGCAGCAACAGCAGCAGCAGCAGCAGCAGCAGCACCAGGAGTAGTAGTAGTAGTAGTAGTAGTAGTAGTAGTCGTCGTCGTCGTCGTCGTGGTGGTGGTGGTGGTGGTGGTGGTGGTGGTGGTGGTGGTGGTGGTGGACCCAATTGAGGAGGGGGCCAGGCTAAATCTCCGGACCCAGTTGACAGTTGAACCCAGTTGAGGTAAACTGGGTCAACTGGGTCCGGAGATTTAGCGTGGCCCCCTGTGCGGTCGCAATGAAAAATCATGCAACGACAGCATGTCGGCCATCTGATCATTTAGAATTAAAGAACCTCTTGGTGTCTTGGACCTGTTCATTGCGATTGGTCGTGTTATGCCTAGTCCGTGCCTAGTCGGTAACTCTGGCATTCAAACATTCACAGGCCATACTTTCTTAAAAGAGATTGCTTCACAGGCTTCACACATTCTAATACATACAAATAGAGTCTATAAATAGAGGTACACATACACATACATACAGCGAGAGAGACAGAGAGAGAGAGAGAGAGAGAGAGAGAGAGATGCCAGCACTGTAACGACCTGCCGCGGAGCCGGAATCCGAAACACCGAGCCGCTCGAGCCGGACCGAGGGAACCGTCCCCTTCGAGGCCCGTCCTTCCCCTTCGGCGAAGCCACTGGAAATCATGGAACCCACTCATCCAAGTGACTGGCGCACTAGTGACCAGGAACCCTGGCATACAGTGCATGATCTTCGATGAGCTTTACACACAGGCCTTTGTAAAACACGGTACTTCCCAGTTCCTTTGTTCACCTCAGCTCCAAAACGCCATGCCGAACCCGCCCACCCCTTCTCGGCCCTTCTGACTCGGCCGGGGTGCCATGTCCCACGACTTCGCAGCGCCCTTTAGGCAGAAGACGCCATTCACGAACTCTTCCTGGCGCCGCTTGGGGACGCCGAACGCCGGTCGCGGGTCATTTCCGGGGGGCGGGAGCTGGTTGGATTTGGCCCGGATCGGTGGTCTTCTAGTTGAAGCGGATAAAGAGGGTGGAGTGTATGGTAAAAGAGGTAAAGGCTTAGGAGTCGAGCCTGTGAAGCTGTGAGGCTTTGTAACTATTGATCAACTACAGTACAATCTGAAGCCCTGGAGTAGATCACGTCGAAACACTTGTTGAGGACAAATGTCTTTGGGATTGAACCGTGCTGCTTTGGGTGATGGTCTCACGCTGAATGCAACCCCCCAACGGGTTGCAGCTGGATTATGGGTACTTGATAGATCCCCGCCACCTATACCTTCCACGACAGCGTGCATGGCGGGGGTGACGTCGTGGAGGGTGGTGAGACGATGCACGCACCGCGTTTGATGCGCAGACCTCACTATCCACTTGTTGGAAACTCCTTGGGACTCTTCTGCTTTACTGAGCGCACTTTGATGCACATTTTGTGCTGACATGATGTCGAATTTCCCTCACTACTTTCTTTTCTTTTTCCTTGGTCTTGTATAGCTTTGACCTCTCAATTTTGACTGTACAGACTTGATGACTCTACGTTGCCGCGCTCATGTCTAGGTGAACTCCGACGGATCCCAAACCGAGCATGATGAGTGTTGCCGGTCTTTGCTTTGTGCTGACAAGGGCTGCTCGTCCGCTACTCGGAATTCTTGCATTTAATTACTGCATTCCTGCACACTCCGGAACGGCGTTGTGCGGATGGTACATTTGTTTGAGTGATCGAGTGCTAAAGGGTACCCTTTAAGCATCTCCCGGGAGCCTTTACGCGAGATGTATATTTGACTTCTGTCAAGGGGTATACAATGCTCTTTTGTATAGCATTCGCTTAGGCTCATGTCGTCTGATAGACTCTGTCATTTTGGCAAATGTGCGAGTGATCTTGCTGTATGCAAGACTTGCTCTTACAAGCCCCTACTACTTATGGGTACTTGATAGATTGAATTGTTTCCTTCATGCTTCCTCTCATGGCTATATGCCTTGCATTTCTTGTAACGAAGCAAGGTGTCCCATGCCCTATGCCCTACTAGGAACCCTTCCACTGATTTCCCACCTTCACCAGGTCGGACCCGCTGGGTCGTCCACGTGGTTCCATCACCGACCAGACCATGGGATTGGTCAAGGTCATGGGTTGCGTATACCAACCCTGGTAGGGTCCTATATAAGGTCACTGGATACCTCTGTTGGTATAACTTTATTCCATACCACTTCGGGGGTGCCAATTGCTGGCTACCGGGGTGTCCATAATATGTGTCAACGAACCACACCTCCATGAACCAGGCTCCAAAAGCCATCCCTTGGGGGGTCGACAGTGCATGGATGGTCTGGGTTTCTTTGCTTTCATCTTGCCTTCGCTGATGAGGAAGGGGATCTTCCACAAGGCTGCCTAGACTGATTTAGGATTTGCACGGACAACTCGACTAACTATTGGCATAGAAAAAACAATGAGTGGTATTGGGAGCACGTTCTCTTTAGAACGCCTGGGCTTTTCAAGCCGTCCACCCGGTTGCTGGTCATGGTGAGGTGATGGTTTTCTCTTGGAATCGCACGCTCGAAACAGCAGGTCCACATTTCGCGGTGACCTGGCACGTGCCTGTCACTAGTGATCACCTCAGTGCCTGGTCCAGTGAGGTCGAGGAAAGGACCGATCGCACGTGCCAGAGCGACCACTGATGGACGGATCGCACTGAGGTCCTTGTGGCCGCGAACGGCGATCCATCCGACTGAGCTCTCATGACAGCAGAGGATCCTCGACGAGGAAAACGACTTTCTCCGACGCTGCGATGGTGATGTGAAGCTGGAGAAAGAGACTCCCCGATGTTGACATGTCTCTCGCCATGTGGGGTCGGCCTCAGTTCTCGTTGGCAAGCCCTCGCCCATACGCAAGAGCTGTAGCTGGCAAGTTGATGATGGTCTCTCAGTGGCTCAAGCGGAGAAAGAGAGTGCTTTCAAAGCAAACCTGGGAGTGAAACATCTAGCCATCCTGGCCATCCTGGCTTTACCACTCCTTCTTCTAGCCGTGTGTGCTATTTTAGCCGCCTCTCAAGCTTCCAACGAGCCACGTGGCTCTTCATGTAGCTCTGCTGATCTTCAGTGTAGCCAAGCGCTCGATCGCGCCCCCTTCCATCCGCTCTCATCCCCCGGCCACCTCCGTGATGCTTCCATCCCCATTGTCGTCCAGCCTCGAAAGGGGAGCAAATGGGGAGATATCACCGTGCCAAGGCCTCTCTCCATCAAAGTGCCTTACAGTATTGGAAGAGCTCTGTAGTCACTGTAGTGGTTACTCTCAAGAGAAGTGGGATTGCTCCTACTCTTACCCCCATGTTTCACTTCCATGTTTGTTGCATGCAGGGTATGTCATCTACACGTTGGTCGGGTCAACTGTTTACATTGACCTACAGTGACCAAACAGAATACTGAATACTCCAAATGTCTTCCACCTACCCCATATGGCATCCACGCGCACACGGTCGTCCTGCCAAAAATCATCTGTGGGCCACAATTTGTTTGTTTTTGGCTGGGCTCTTGGAGCAAATTCTGAGCCAAAACCATCCCCTGTAAAATTCACACGACAACCCCGGGGGTGCATTTTGTATCTACAAATGCCTCACCCCAAGTCCAAACCAACCAATCCATCTATAAAATCAAGCCCCCCAAGATAGAAACTTTAAGTGTATAATAGTGGGTTGGGGGTTGGCCTGAGTGGGCTCACATAAATTTATCAGAAAAGTGTGCCCTCTATAAGATCAACCCCTCCAAGAAAGATGCTTAAACACCCATCTCTACAAAATGGCTTCTAACCCTCTACAAAATTATGGTGGGTGGGTGCACATGCTCGAGTCAGCGGAAACATATTTAAAACAACAAACAAATGTTTCGTTTCTATAAAGTGGACCCTGCCTTGCAAATCATGTTTTTGCTAACATGCTCAAAATTTACCCTGATCACTCTGCAAAACAGGAACACCCAGGACAGTGATTCTATAGAAAACCAACATTTTCTCTACAAAATGGTCGTTTCCAATATAGGGGTTGACCCAATTTGTAGAGGAATTTTCACAAGGGATTCGAAACCTATCGTTCTTTGTCCGGCATATGTTTGTTGCATTCAAGGTTTTGTATGGTTTTGTTGCTTTCAAGTTTCTAAGTTTTGCCTTCCAGTTTCTGAGTTGACCAACCTTGCTGAGGACCCTAAAAGAACCTGCTGGGTGGACCGGTGGCCAATCTGCAGTCGAAGAGGCTGCTTGAAGAGCGACCAAGCGCTATCCGGATAAATGTCTAGGAGGTTCATAAGACCTGGCCAAAGCATGCGTCATGCAAAAGTCATGCACGCTTTTGCAAAAGGCATCCGTGCACAAAAAAAAAAGGTGCAGTGCATGACATATCCTTAAAGCGTGGATTCTCATTCCGTTTGTGCCCGATGATCATGCAATTCAAGGGCGGTTTCATGTACCCAACACCTCCCTCCCGGTCGCACCCTTCTTTTCGGTTCGGTGGGACAAGGTGTTTGGGGGTGCCAGGAGGGTCCATGACTGATGCCGAACGTGAGGAAGTACGACTGGAGCCCCACTGGGATGAATTGATTCTTCGTTGATTTGATGGGAACATGCAATGCTAGGCATGATTTGTGGTCCCCGAAAACCACATCCTGCTAAATGACAAAAGCTTTCTGACAAATCTGTCTCAAACTGGGATTGGTCCGAACTCTGACCCTGAACAGGCGCTTTGAAGAATCCAAACTCATTGCTTTGCTTTGTCTAATTTAGCGGCATCCTGACAGTTTGTTCATTTTTGAAAGGCATCGATCTAAATTGGATCATAGATCAATTGACCTGGTAGTCTTGTGTGCCTGGGCTTCATACCAGTGGATGTCCAAGAGATTCATCATGAGAGAAGTTTCATTCTCCAGATCCCTGTGCAATCTGTATAGCCCGCTGACGGCTGCGCCCAAATCCCAGTGCTTTTTGGGTGGGAAAGAAGCCCATGTCACTCTACTCCGAAAAGACGGCCCGTGCTTCAGAAACGTGCGAAATGCTTCAGTAACAGGATTCGGCATTTAGGCTAAACAGATCTAAACATGGCTAAACACACATCCTAGTATAACATGGACTTGCTTCAGAAACCCAGGATGACGAACCAGGTTCTCCCCAGGTTAGGGGAGAAGAACCCGTAGGGAAGAACACCAGGATCACCAGGAGCTCTCCGATTCTTGAAAAGGTTGGACTTGTGGATAGAACAGCAAAACGAAAGACCCATGCCTTGAACACCTTCGTCCTCAAACTGATCCTCAAAATCCTCAGTGGGAGGGGCGTGAAGCGCTGAAAAGAAGCACAGCTACCGATAGAGCATAGCATACCTTACCCATCTTATTTTCGTCAAGGACCATTGAGTCAAACAGGGTAAGGTCTTGTGAACACCAACAAGCCCTCACCATCCCTCACCCTTCCACCCTCTTGCGGGCTTGCGCAGGCAGTCACAGGCGACAAGCACTGTGCTTTCTCACTGGCTCAATCTTATATAATCTTTCCCAGACCAACCATGCAATAGTCACATACATTTCCCCCATTTCTGACTCCAAGTCCCATGGATGGTCTGGGTTTCTTCGATCACTTCCATCAATAGGTCCACCAGGGCCTACTGCCCGTGGCGAGGCGTGCTGAACGAAGTGCAGCCCACAAAAGCCGCTGGCCGTCACCTCTCGTCACCTCTATTTGGATCTCTGACTTCAGGGTGTCCAGTTGCTGAACTCAAGTGAGTGGCGCTTTCTGCACTTGACAATCGTGGCCTCTTCAAGGCGAGAAAACGACTTGGCCATGTGCGGCCTGGCCATCTCGTTCGCTTCACTGGCAGCGGCCGCGGCCTGAAGATAAAGCCTCTCGTTCCAGGCGCATGAAGTGGTCCTGCCCAGGACAAGATGTCCTTCTGGTTTCAACGACCAAATAGGCTTTGCCGCGGAAGTAGGGCTGCTTGGAGATTTCTTTTTGAAGTATGTGTCATGAAGCCGCTTGGGCCTTCTGCGGAACTCAAGCTATGGGGCTTTTCCGGGCTCCGAAACATGTCTTCAGAACACACCTGATCCATCAGAAAACCACCAACATCCTGCACCACTCGATGATTGATTCGGACCTCCAAGGGCCACGGTATGAAGAACCTGATGCATCATGTAAACGATTATTGACTGGGATTCTATGAAGATCTGAAGTACAGTGGTTGACTGGAGTAGAATTGCACCAAGGGCCCCAAGCATGGTGGTTTATATGGAACCCCACATAGAAAACATCTTGAAAGGGTGTATGACATCATATCACTACAGTCAACCACTGTATCATCAACAGTCAAACATATGGGTCGAAGCCCAGTTTTCGACCTCCGTGGTGCAGCAGTTCCAGCGTTCATGTTCGTTTTCAAACGCAGCTGCCATCTTCGTGGCGGTAACAGGGTATCGGCAGCGCCTGTGACTGAGACACTTGTAAAGCAATGAAGCAATGAAGCAAACATTTACTAATGTAAGTAACTATTCCATACATGGATGGTTTGCGACATAGAAATATATGTATATGATATACGTATTTTATAGGTTGGTCATCCGTGGATCAGGACAATTGTGATTCTTGCATTCACCATTCAGGCATTAGACTGGCTTGCGAGAGTTCTACCAGATTCTGATACTAATCAAAGCTAGTAGAAGTTTACGTAGGAAGCACACAACAGGTTGAAGTTCAAAGGCTCCGGGGATTAAGATATTGTATCAATGTGATTCAATTTGTGATGCTCCGTTGCCTCTTTGTTGGCTCCGAGTAAATAAACAAGGCATAACAAGGCTTTGTGCTAAAGGTCTGTATCCCTGAGGTTCATGTCAAGGATTTCGACCAAAGCTGAAAGATAGAATGCGGCCGCGTTTCTCACATTTTTGCACTAGTCTTGGAATGCCTACACCCACCGGAGAAAAGAAGTACTACACTTCGAATGGGGTGCCAGGCATCTTTCAGAGTTTGGACCGTTTGGGTCCCTTAAAAGCACGATGCTTCCAGCAGAATACGTCTACAACAGGTTCCCTCTGAGGGATTCCAACAGGGGTCACTCTTTACATGGAAAGAACTGCCCACACATGCAGCAAATGACATCGATTCTCCAATGAGGTGTGCAAGGTTGCAACATAAAACATGCAATGCGATTATGGCCTGGACTGGTCTTTTGACCATGAACAATTGCCTGTTACACTTAAAGTCTTAACACATCATACAATCCAGGAACCCCCATCCGAGCAGAAATCGCCGTCCAGGGCACAATGAGAGTGATCTTGCGCCGGTTCTTATGCCTCGGTCGAGCGGTAAGGAGAGCGACACTGGGATTGAACAGCGATGGGCCGCCCATGGCACCCTCCAAGAACATCTAAGGAACCATAGAACCTTTCTCTTGGAACATCTAAGGAACCGTTGGTCTAGCCAGTAGCCTCAACCATATAGCAACAAAAACATGAAAAACCCATGAGAATCCCAGAAACATCGAGCACCCCACCCTTGTCCATCTTTCAAAGCCTTCCCTCCCCCCGATCCCTCGCGTCCTGTGATGCGTTGACCCTCGCGTCCAATCCGCGCGTCCAATCCGGCGTTTCTGCTGTTCGCCCAGGTACTGGCCGAAGTGATGATACAATTGTCGTATCAGGTCGCGCTGTCTTTCCCGTTCCACCTGAACCGTTGGCCGACCCTGACGGGTGGTTGCGAAGGAACGACGCCGTGAAGTGAGGACTGATTCACAGCGCAAAGGACGACCATTTCGCGGAAACCGTCAAACTAAAACCAGATGGCAAGCCGGCAAGCTCCCTCTAGGTTGGCGAGTGGCTTGCATGATTGCAATCTGTCGGGTTTGCAGCACGAGTGCCGAGTGCCTGAAACAAATCAACACTGAAATACAACCAAATGGATTCCACAGTTTGTGTCTTGACATACTGTAAACCTTACTAGTATAATGTTCAACATGCTGCAAACTCAATCACCATACTTCCTCTGAGAATGCCGTGAACATGCGGAATTCCCTACACTCAACTTGTCATACTGTTCAGCACCCCATCCTCTCATCGATCCTCTCATCATCTGAAGCCAAGAGAGGGTCAAAGGTTAACCATTGCTTAATCAAAATCATCCACCATCCTTGGGTGAACAGTGAACAGCACCCCTCAAAACCTTGGGCTCTAAACTCTTCTACGTCTTCCCCTTCTGGTCAGTCGTTCCAAGATGTTCCAAGCAATTTCACGCTGTGGCCCTCCCGGTCAACGCTGCAGGGGATTCGACATCTGGTCATACTATTAGCCCAAGGACGTGCGTATATAGTATATTATATATACCAGTATATAACATTGCATATCTTTGTGTATATATATATATATAGTATAATTATATATATATAGTAAATACACATGTCAAATTGTCAAAACATAATATGACCTAACTACTCCATGTACGGGATATCTGCCTACATTGACCCCTGAAACAACGCCAATAATTCAATGATCCTCAACGTAGGTAAATATTTTGCAAGTACATTGGAGTGTCGGGTTCATGATCTTTCTACAACCGCACAGATGGGTTCGAATACCACTGGTACTCCGGGCAGGTGGATGATTTGGAGGAATTCGCTTCCTCTCCCTGCCATTGGAATTCTGGTCGAGGCACAATGGAATGCTGGAGGAGCAGCTGGGGGTCGTTCCAAGAGCTTTCCTCAATGGACACGGCCCGATCACGGACATGTGAGATGTTTCTCACATCTTGTGCTTGTTTATCAATTGCTTATATAAATAAATACATTCAAACATTCTGCCATGCAGTAGCCTATTTGCCAGCCCAAACAACCTCTATCTGTTGCTGAACTTGCAGTGAATTAGCGGGTGATCAGCTTGATATATTTCCGCGCATGTTACGCATGAAGCGCAAAAACGGGCGTCAATAGTTGATCGAGTAGCAACTCATCATGGTTCATCATTGGCTGTGGGTCAAAAAGATCACCAAACATGGTCAATCTACCAGTGAAACGGGCTCCAGCTTTTGACTCACAGCCATTTGAAGCCCACTACCTGGAGGTCACAGGAATCTCCAGGCCATTCGAGCAATGAAGCGCGCTGCCAGGCGTGCCTGCGTGTCGATGATGATCCCCTAGACCTGTTTCAGTCCAAGCTTCGTTGATGCTTTCCGATTCGGCACATCGTGAAAACGGGATGGTCCACATCGTAGTGAACTTCTTGAAACACACCGTAGAGTAGGACCGAACCATTTTCGGGCTCCATCTCCTCCGAGTTTTGCTGTTCATTTGATCATTCATCTGTCAAACGCGCTCTCATCTGTCAAACGCACACCCTGAGCACGTGCGGGATCTTTTCTCGAGTGCAGTGCAGCCAACCCAGCATGACCCAGCACCTTCCGGTCACATTTCCCATGATCCAGGCCACACACCTGCTGTTCTCACCAAACGCGTTTCTGCCTGCAAATATGGATGTGAATCAATCTACGGAGACTTTCCAATTCGACCCCCTCGAAGGTTCTGAAAATAAACCAGACAGGGCCAGGGTCTCCCGGATTTAATCTGCACACCCATCTGCACCAACAGCGCTTCAGTCGCCCCCAACACGGTTCTGACCGTTGGTCGATCTCCTGCGCGTCTTTCGGCCGAGCAGCTCTGGATTCAATGCACCAGTCGGGCGTGTATGTTCATGGGGAGACCCTCTTGCCCTGCCTAAATAGAATGGTCTATTTCTCTGCTTGGAAAAGGTGTTTGGGAGGTCCTCTCTATTTTAATACACACCCAGCTCTGCCTTGCTTCAAATCTCCTAGCGCAGCCGTGTTTAACTAGTGGCCCAAAAATTCAAAAGTCTTCAGCAGGAAAAGAACGGCTCTGAGCTGCGTGCATATGAGCTGCTTCTGCTGAAGGCTTCTGCTGAAGGCCAATTGCGCGGGGAAAGCAAAGCAAAGGCGCAATGGTTTGCTTCATCCCGTGGTTTTCAGGCCGCAAAATGCCGCAAACACACCATGGGACAGCCATACATTTATGTAATTACCAGACCTTCCAAGTCCGGTGGTTTTGGACCCCAACATGTGTTTTCTGGGCCACGGACTTGGAAACCGAGGAAAACACCGATCTTGGAGGGTCCAGGTACATGTCGCTGCCATGAAAGGGTCACAAAGCCTACACGTACTAGGTCGAGGTCACAAGAATAGCATGCCCAGCAGGCCAGCACAGGCACTTTGATGTTTTTGACTTTGCATCGGTTGCATCGCAAAGGATAACACCTGATAAACCCTTGTATTTTAGTGATGTAATATATATATATGTTTATGTATCATATTTTGTATTTATATGAAAACTGTATATTCCATTCATGCTGTAACTTTATCCGGAAAGGCGGTTTGCAACTTCTTGGCCCTCTGTCACTATGTGTGGGCAATCACATGATCATTGTTTTTTTTGGTTGCTTGGGGCCTATACACTAAAACAGAACCTTCGCCAATGCTTTCGCGAACTTTCGCGGCTGCAGAGGGTGCCTACGCGATGCACACGCTTATCAAAGGTGCTTACGCGAACGCTTTCGCGGTGCATCGGAACAGTGCCGCTGTCTTTCGAAGCGTGCTGCTGTCACGCTTGTACTTGGCAGTGAAATCAAACCAAGTCTTGTCTTGGGCGGGCATGAATGCCAAAGAAGGCTTAAGTTTCTTGAGCCTGGAATGCCTATGGCAGCAAATGCATTTTCAAAAGGTTCCTGGGCCCTGGAAAGGGCATGGGTTGGATGGAGGCTGTAGGTGCTTTCGCGGAGCTTTCGCGGAGCTTTCGCGAGCTTTCGCGTGGATCAGCTTTGATTTAGGTTTTGTATGGTTCCTGCAACAGTAGTCGTAACACCGCCCTGCTTTCGCGATCTGCTTTCGCGGCTCAAAATGTTCCAAAGCTGCGCAGGGCGCTTTCGCGAGCTTTCGCAGAACAAGAAGCTTCACACATTTGCTTTCGCGAAAAGATAACAAGTTCCACTTCTGCCTGACTCCTTTCAATTGAAAAAAACGTTGCTCACATGGTTTGCCAAAAAGAAAGCATGAGGAGTATGCGTACCCAGCCTTTTCAGTCTTTCTTTCAAGAAGATGTTGTGTTTTTTTTTGCCAGGATTGTCCGTCTGCTTCCCAGGCCACGCAAAACTGCCCTCTCCGTAAAAACTACCCAAAAACCGGCTAAACATCAAGCCAAGTAGCAACCGCAACCTGACAGAAGATCCCGGTCATCACCTGCCAAGTTGTAGTAGCAGCTTAGCTTGCGACAGCCCCCGAACGGACAGCACAAGTCTATCAGACGTGTCCATGGTCGGCAAGCGGGACAACCAACCGAACGTCACCATGGACACACCGAACATCCCCGCATATCTACTGAAGGTGTCTTGGGGCAATCGCAAGGAACCAAAAACACAATCCGATCGAGCACAGTCTGCACCCTACCCCTTTCCTTTTCACTGTCAGACCTGCATCCGTTCTGATGCGCTGCGGACTACAAACTTTCTGAAGCAAGTTCGACTGCCGAGCCGATCGTGCCATGACTTGGGTCTTACTTGGTGGAACTCTCAAGCAATCCCAGCCCACTTGGCGGGACCAAGCATGCCACGCGTGCACGTACGCGTCAAAGCAAGCCTTGAAGTCGATGTAACATGGGTTCAAAATAGGCCAACAAGGGCCCAAGGTAGGCTCAATATGGGCCCAAGATGGCCCAACATAGGTCCTAGCTGGGCTAACATGGGCCCAAGGTGGGCCAACATAGGCCCTAGATGGCCCAACATAGACCCAAATTGGGCTCAAGACCGCCCCACATAGCCCAAAGATGGGTTCGACCTGGCCGCAAGACCACAACCATAACCAGAACCACCGCAACAACAACAGCAACAACAACAATACATCCTATACATAGAGGATATATATATATATATGTGTGTGTAACCCTTGGAATCATTGGGATTCTTTTGGATTTTTCAGGTTTGTTTGTGTCACAGCAGGGGAACGGAGTGATATTTGGAGGCACCGGAGGGGCTGATGAGACCGGTGCTAACAAAGACACTCATCAGTCACCTGTGATACAGTTGGAGACGTCCAACTGCGTACCTGCAATTTTTCCAATTTTCTGCATGGCGCGAGGCTAAGCCAAGAACCTCACGACACGGTCTTGTTTAGGGCTTTGATTCACTTCCTGCAGATGTGCACGAGCCGCCGTCACCCTGTTCGACTCGTTCGCCGTCTTCGACCTTGAGCTTTTGGCCTCACTTCTTCTTACAGACCTCCAGGTTCTTTAGGACTTTCCTGGACCTTTCAGGATTTGGGTTTCTTGGGCTGGCGTGTGGCACCGCATTCAGTTCAGTACACAATATCCTAAGTGTGTTTGGCCTTGTGCCAACCCGGGATGAGCCCGCAGAGTGCCTCCCGTGGACCCGTCGAACGGGTGTACGTCGTTATCTCCCCTGCCCGGAGATGTAGATGCCCAGAGCGGGCGAAGGTGGCCTAGGCCGTACGTACGATGATTTTTGTCTCATCTTTGGAATTCCAAGCTGGCTCATGCCTTTACGTGACCGCAGCGATCAAAGCAGCCAGCCATTTCGGCAGGGCACAAGGTGACCACAGCGGTCAAAGCAAGTTTAAGGTCCATTGGGACCTGTTGGAGCCTCAGTATTTCAGTTGATTCCTCCTTCTCCGCTCCCCGCTCCTCTTTGGTGTGTCCCTGGACGCTTGTTTCGTAGCTGGGAGCACCTCTCTTTCTCTCTCTCTCTCTCTCGCTCTCTCTCCTTTTCTTGACGGGTGTGTCCTTGGACGCTTGAGTGGTAGCTGGGAACACCATCGTCTCTTTCCTTTTCTCGTTTGGTGTGTCCTTGGACGCTGGGCTCGTAGCTGGGAGCACCTCTCTCTCGCTCTCTCTCTCTCTCTCTCACTCTCCCTCTCGCTCTCTCTCTTTCTCTCTCTCACTCTCTCTCTCTCTCTCTCTCCCCCCTCCCTCTCCCTGCGCCTCCCGCCGCTTTGCAGCTCTCTCCTACGGCCTCGCCGCCTACACCTTACCACACACAGGCCTTCAACTTTTCCTTTCCCTTCCTTACGCCGGGGTCTACACCCTACCGGATAACAGCGTGCAGGGGTGCCTGGGCCTTTCAGTGTGCAGCTGGCAACCGCACCAACCATCCTTCCTCCAGTTTACAAGAAACGGTCACTTCTTTTCCGTTTCTTGTTCTTCCTCTTCCTGCGCCTCCACACACCTTTCCTGTCCCTTCCCTACGCCGGGGTTTACACCCTACTGGATAACCGCGTGCAGGGGTGCCTGGGCCTTTTACTGTGCAGCTGGCAACCGCACCAACCATCCTCACTGAAATCTCACCCTACCTTTGGCGCGGAGCTTAAAATCTTGCCTCCCTTCGGGGAGGCGTGTGTGTGTAACCCTTGGAATCATTGGGATCCTTTTGGATTTTTCAGGTTTGTTTGTGTCACAGCAGGGGAACGGAGTGATATTTGGAGGCACCGGAGGGGCTGATGAGACCGGTGCTAACAAAGACGCTCATCAGTCACCTGTGATACAGTTGGAGACGTCCAACTGCGTACCTGCAATTTTTCCAATTTTCTGCATGGCGCGAGGCTAAGCCAAGAACCTCACGACACGGTCTTGTTTAGGGCTTTGATTCACTTCCTGCAGATGTGCACGAGCCGCCGTCACCCTGTTCGACTCGTTCGCCGTCTTCGACCTTGAGCTTTTGGCCTCACTTCTTCTTACAGACCTCCAGGTTCTTTAGGACTTTCCTGGACCTTTCAGGATTTGGGTTTCTTAGGCTGGCGTGTGGCACCGCATTCAGTTCAGTACACAATATCCTAAGTGTGTGATATCCGTCCCCCTACTCCCCCCATGTCCTTCCTTCCTCCGCACACCCTCTGGTTGGCGCTGGTTGGAGACTCGTACGTAACAGGCTTTGGAGGGCCAGCTGTATGTGGATCCCGAGGCCCAAACCTGTCTTTGAACAACTGAGATCCGATCACTTGAGATTACAAAAAAGGCCAACATCCATTGTGTTGTGTGCAAGAAAGCACATCTGCCGCCACTGAAGTCATTGTTTACACGATCACTAATATACACACTTGAAGATAAAATGGAACTTGAAAAGGGACCTTTGGAAGACTAAATTCCTCCGCAAACCAGTGGCTTTTAGGTCCATATTAATCTTCCAGGGCGTATTACTGGCACATTCTCCAAGACATGCATCACCAATAATCAACTTTCAAATGTTAGGCGAATCCAAGACCCTACAAACCGTAGTTTTCTGCAGAGCCAACAATCACACGTCAGAACGTCAGAAAGTTAAGAAGCGCCAAGCGCGTTCTCACAGAAATGACTCCTTTCCATTTCGGGGTTTGGGATGTCAGAATCTGACTCCCGGGCTGTTTCCTTGGAGAATAAAGGTTAATCGAAGTTTCCACCCGCTCTTGTTTAGCGGGGAAAAACCATTCCCAGAAAAAGATTAAAGGACTGGCTAGGTCATTGAACAACGCTTGTCAACACGAATTGGTTCGCCTTTCTTGGATGGTGTCAATCAATTGCTGCCCTCTGCAGCTTGAGACTCTACAGCGCCAGCAAGGTAACAAAACTGCCACCGCAACACCACATACAGAAAAACATTTGAGCACAATATAATATACAATATTTATATATGTATATATAGATATTTCGTATTATGATGTATTATGTTCACGTGGATGAGTATCTTACATGCATAGAAGCAGTCTGACCCCTCTTTTGGAGCCTAAACATTCCATTGTTGCTGTCAATGTGGGTGTGGAAATAGGGTGACACACTCAACCTCTGGGTAAAGCGACAAATTGTGGGGAGCCCCCATTTTCAGAACAACAACTGGCATATGATGCTGCAATGCCCCCGTTCACCAACCACTAGAAGAAACGTGTTCTATCACGTGAAATAGAGGGACTAACCGTTGCAGTTTTCTCAGAATTCCAAGGAAGACATGGGTTGGGTCACTAGGCCAACAGCCAACGGCCAACAGCGGCGTGAAGTGACTGAGACACCGGGCATTTAATACTGCAAAGGTACAGAATGCCACATACATCGTGAACCTCAAAACGATCAAATGTGACTTCTTGTTGCACGCAACATGTGAGGAACTGAAAGATAAATCCATGCCAGCGTTCCAACAAACAGTAACTAGCATGCTAGCTACTAGAAAAACACTCCGTGCGTGTTGATCAAATCGGGGTCGGTGGTGGTCTCTGTGCGAAAATCCACGAACATCTACGACATCCAATTGCCACAAGCGCCCAAGTAGAAATGAACAGGATGGCCTACTTGCATGCGGGCATATCTTCCTCAATTTGGTTTTGACATGCTTTGCCACATCTGTTGACGTCTTCATATTGTCTTAGTCTGCACCCACTTCAGTGTCAGGGTCGGTCTCTTGGGCGGTTCTGAGCTTCGAGCAAATAGACCCAAATCCAATGCACCTCGTTGAGGGTCAAGGCCACTGTGCCCCAGTCAATGCCACCTGGCACGCTCATGGCAAGGCTTGGCGCGACCAGCTGATGGCCCCAAGTCCAGGGCAGCTGCAACCGCTTTCTACAAGTTGGCTGTTTAAAGGTCTGTCGGTCTGTCAAACAAACAGATCGATCAGCTCACTTCTTTCAGTGACCTCTTTATGGAAAGGCGACTTTCTTTGAAATTCCATCAGTTACCTCCAATGACCTCTCCAAAGGTTACCTGAAAACAAACAAATCACTTGAAAGAACCTATCCCCAGCAATCTCTCAATATTTACCTATGTACATCGTTACATTGAACCTTAAGACAAATTCAACTTCACTTCAATCCAACATGGTTTGTCTCCAAAGACCTAGTGATCGCCTCTCAGAACGGTTTTGGGTGCGAAGTGCCTGAGACACTCCGGAACAAGGTGTGCATGGAGAGATGGAGATCGGCAAAATTCGCCTCAAGAGAGAGGGACCGACGCGGATGTCTGAACGTTGTTTATACCGTAATTGCACACAAAACTGTGAGTGGCACGAAACCGCGAGTCGAATGCCTATTTGGTGCATCATTAGTGGAAGTGCACCCATTCTAGTGTGGCAAAGTACCCAACCACCCAACCAAATATTAAGGAGTTCCAAACAGTTCCAGTGAGTGGATGTGACGGGACATGAAATCCTCGTTATTTAAGTACCCTTTCGGAATTGCTGGATGTTGGACCATGTTGGACTTTGTTTCGGTTGAATACATTCAAAGAATGTTATATGAACATATGAACCAAACCTCTATTACTCATGTTCCATTGAAAAAAACAAAACAACACGTAAAAAACCACGCTGGCCGCGTTTGGTGGTTTCAATAACCTTCCAAAGCGCTGATGTCTCCACCCTTCGCCCGGAGGAGTTCGGAACCGCGAGGGGTCGGATCACACGATTTCCCAGGCCTCTAGAGATGACCTCCACATGTTTCCAATCCAAAACATGCGACATCATTGCCTGACTGATCACCCGAAATCATCAGAACAATTGTCCTGGACCCCTCCAACGCGGGAGACAACGGCGGCTACAGTTACCGCAGCTACCGCTGCCGCGGTGACAGCGAACTCTCGCGAGGTCGAACGACATCGCAAGTCCAAGCAGCTGTAAGTTCAGCGTTCAGAGCGTGCCCTTCGTGCTCCGCTTTGAAGGCAGCTGCCGCGTCCTGACCACAGGCACCCAAAGCAGGAGAAGGGCCAAGCCCCACCCAAGCCAATCCCAGATGCCAACCACGTTTTAGTTGCGAAGACATCTTCTTCCATCAGTTGCACTGAAAGGTGATTTGGAAGAAGGCAGGGCACATCTATTGACAGACTAGCTTGACAAAGGCAGCCATGCGGGTGACACAATGTTCTGAGCTTTGTTCTGGCATCAAGTCTAGTGTGTGCTCTGACACATCATCTATGACTGTGTCCTGACATGTTTACTGTCTGGCGTGTGATGTGACATATGGACCGACTTTGGTCCTGGTACGCGTGGTATGTGCTCTGACATGTATTCCGACATTTGCTCTGCCATCAAGGAAAAATATGGGCATTCTATCTGGCATATATACTCTGGCAGACTCTGGCATTCTACCTGGCATAAACTCTGACATGCTTCCTGGCATGTATTCTATTGTATTCTGACCTTGTATCTGGCATACATTCTGGCATTCTATCTTGAAAATATTATGGTATTCTATCTGGCATACATTGTGACACTCTATCTGGCAATCTATATAGCATCACTTCTGCCATTCTATTTAGCATCTATTCTGACATGCTATCTGGCGAGGCCCGGTGGTGCCCACTGCGATCTGGAGCTTGCTGTTGAGGCCCGGGGGTGCCCACTGGGAGAACACACACATTGGATTTCTGTGCTATGTCAATTTTTCTAACAGCCCAAACCGAAGATGAGATGCAGTACTGCACTCGACTGGACCACACACTTTTCGCAACCAGTAATGGAAGTGAATGCACAAGCAATAGATGTTATTAGAGCATTCTCCTTCACAAAGTCCTCAACACGACCTGTCTGGGACTGGCATATGAAACATGGGGTTGGTTGATGCCCGGGGTCCGTGTAAGCAAATGTAATTGTATATTGGGTCTATCAATCCCATTACCAGTAACAGTAGATGATGATGGTTAGGTTGCAGGCTTTTCTCTACAATAGTGACGTTCTTGTTTACCAACTTTCAATGGTTTCTAGGACAGACCCAATATACATATATACACATATGACTACATGGAGAGTCACGCGTCCTGGGCTGTTCCACTGCTTTAAGACTCACATCTCCCAGCCGCAAGAGTTTCCACCCAGAAATGACCATCGCTTTCCGTCGCTTTTTGTCGCCAAGGGGCGGTAAACATGATGGCAAACACATAGATGATCACCACCTGAGTGGGCCAGAAAGTGAAAGTACTTAGCTAGTTGATGAGAATACCTGGAGGGGGATCGGATTTGGCTCTCAAATAGATCTCAAGTAGTAGTGTGAACACGAGACGAGTGTGAGGGGTTGTTGAAAAAATATTGAGTCTTTTGTCCCTGAGGGGTTGTGTCCTGCTCAGATCGTTCTGTCCCATTGCAGCTGTTATTCTGATTGTGTCAGTGACAAACGCATGGTTCCAAGCTTCAGGATGTTGATTCTAGCGGACCAACACCCATTGGGCCAGGGCATCTTCCTATTAAGATACACACCCATTTCTTTCACATGGGCCAAATGAAGGCAAGCTTTGGAACATGGCCTGCCCATAGGTATTCCACGCATAGTATATGGAAACGTTCATGGGCAGTCAGGACATACTCAAGCGCTGTGGGACTTGCACCGAATCCTGGTAGCGCAGAAGCTGTATGGCAAGTCTCAGCGAGTCCGTATACAATGGTTTCAGAGGTTCGATGGCACAGACCTCAAGATGTCCTTTAGATCGGGGAGCTATAAAAAACATATAAAACCCACCTTTGGGGGGGTTGTGCCATCTGAAACCATCCGAAACCACCACCGTGGGTGGTAGAACCAGTTGGTGAAGGTGAGAGCAATGTCGAAAGGTCACCACTCCCAATTCTTGCAGGTGGGGCGGAAGCATGTTGCGCTGCAGTGGCCCACACTACTGCATGTGAGTCAAACCAATGTCGTGCAGTCGTGCAGTGTTTAAACGCCTTGCGTGCTATCTGTTTTTCTTGCAGTAGTGACTCAGTAGTGCTGAAAGCTCATCAACTACGCTTGCAGATTACCCTGGCGACATGCGCCCAAGCACGGTCAAACAGATTGACCCGTCCTCCCCCAAAAAATCACGATGCGCGGCACGGCACGTGAAACGGCACGTGTTTCACAGCGGTTTCACGGGAAGCCTTCCGGGGAAGCCTCGCATCCTAAGGCCACCACCAAGAGCAACATGGACCAGGCCAATGACCTTGCAACCGCTCGCACAACGGCGCGCGGTTGATGGACCAGGGTGCATGTGTGGAGGGTGCGAAGCTGAAAGCGAAACCCCGAAGTCACCGACTTCGCGAAGTCACACGCCTTGGACTCCGAGGGTTTCGGGTTGTCACACAGATGAGAAAAAGGGTTCTTCGGGTCGGACCGTTTCCAGTGCCAGCTGAGGTGGCACTGCCAGCTCCACGGTGCCTCCTTGGAGCATGGCTCTGGGTCATGGAACTTGGAGGTGCTGTCATCCTGGTGGGTTGACTTCCTGCCCTATCAAGTTCGAGGAATCTGTTCATGTGACCAGCAGTGTGCCACCCAGGGTTCTGAGGTTTTGACCCACAGCCACAGCTGTGATACCTGGTTCCATCGTCTGTTACGCTGTCACATGATTGTTGATGGAGTCGCGGGCATGAGTCCAGCAAGGCAATCAGATCTGGGTACTACTGACTGGGAAGAACTGACACAATTGACCACAACGCCAGGCCAAAAGCCTCTGAGAAAGAATGTGTTGCCAGGCAATTGGGCATCTCCAGGCTTGTTCTCAGGAGCTGGATTGGTATCGGCTTCAGGAGTCTTCTCCTCCTTGAGGCGTTCTTCTCTTTTAATTTTCAGATGATTCTGATCCAAGACAGTCCGGGGAAATGCTGTGCAAGCCAACGGCGAGTGGCCACTGCTGGTCATCCCCAGGAGTGGCAAGTGGCAAGTGGCCACTGCGAGTGGCCACTTCAGGACCATTTGTCACACTATGTTAGTCTTCGGGTAACCCAAATCAAGGGCCAGGCATGGAGTATAGGACCAGTGTGGAACTGTAGAGGACATTGGGAACGCAGCCTTGGTGTGTCGACACAAACGCACACGAAGAGTTGGTATACAGTATAGTTAACGTTAGCGTTGCCAGTGCTGTCAGTGCTGTCACGAAATCGTACAATGTAATTTGGCCTGTGTGTCCAAACCCATATCCCCAATCCGGTGTAGGTTGACCTCCTCAATAGTCCATTCTGTCCATTTTTGGTGGTCAACCGGTCAACCCAGGATCCGCCCGGTGCCATGACCCACAACCATTGATAAACAAACCAACACAGGGTAGCTTAGGCTGGGCCTGCTGAAGCAAATTGTAGGGTAGGTTGTTTTGGCAGTTGTGCATGTCACCTCTTGTTGCATTGAGAATCCCACATATATCCTCAGTATATGGCACAAGAAAAATCAAAGAACCGCCTCTCAAATCCCAATCCCGGTGCCCGTCTCGCGTTCGCCTCATGGTGTGGATCACCGATTCCACCAGTTGTCGCAGTGACTTGATGAACTTGATGACCTACGAAGAAGGTCTGACTTGCGTGAGTTCGACCCACAGGACATCTTCAAGATACTGCAATACTGCTTGGACATCTTGGGTGGCCCTCTTTGGATCCATAGGGTCTTTCTGGTCTTTGCTGCTCCATCCCGGAGTAGATAGAACATGAATACTGTAAAGTATAACCAACACGTTTCCTGTTTGTTTCCAAGGCTACTCAGGATGTCGACATGGCTTCGAAGCTTGCTTACAAACCGCTCAGGAACTCACCAGTTTCCTGTCCGATCTTCCAAGTGAGACATGTCCGATCTTCGTGTGCGACATGGGAGACCATGGAGCCATCCAAGTGCGGTAAAGAAACGTTTGATGACTGGGAGACCATGGGAGACAATCCAAACATTGGGTTTTGGAAAGGCCAAGATCAACGAAACAAATGGAAGCTCTTCATTATTCTTTTCTGTGCGTTTTCTGTGGGATTGCCTTTTGTATCCCTTTCTTCGGTCTAGTTGCGTGCCCTCTTTCCGAGAATCTTTAAGTTCACAGCACAGACGCTGCTCGGGTGAGCCTTCACCACTCGGATCACGCGAAAGACCTGAGGGGCGATGGTCTTGGTATCAGTGCCCCGGGTCGACCCAGTCATGAGTCAAGTCTGCAAAAATCATGGCAAACCGTGGCATGGCAGGGCCATGATGGCAGGGCCCTGAAAGGAGGACCGTTCCTTTTTTTGCAGGTGGTGCCGTCCACTTCCATGATTATTTCAGGGAGTGTAGATTCTTGGAACCTCTTGGAACTCTGATCCAGTTTCAACGCAAGGAGGCGCCGTAGAATGGACAGGAGGCGCCTTTCTGCCTTTTTTCGTAAATCAATAATCAAGACCAACCAACCTGCTGCATTCTGCTTGCAGCTCCTTCGGTGTCTCTGGATGCGAACTTCTCACCAATCATCTTCCCCAGTGAAACTGATTTGCGTCCCCAAGAGGCTCTGGTGATGCGGAGGATGCGCACCACCTCAGTAGTTGGCAAAAGAAAAGAACATCTCAGAAGTAACACGTGACATCGCGTGACACGATTTGCCACAAACACTACAAACCCTTGGGATCCAAGTACCTTCTCAGGTACGGTGATTGGAGACTATTTATGTAGGCTTGGAGGGCCCAAGTACCTCCTGAGAAGGCACGTGGGTGGATCCCTAGGGAAAGATATAGAAAGATCAAGGTTCCCTGAACGTTTTTAAAGTGGACATGGCCACACAGATCCGTCCTTTATCCGGCATATCCGTCAAGTCCTTGGCACGTGGGCTAAACCCAAGCCATCCCAAGCCTCGTATTCCAGAAGCAAATATCATGTTAGTGCCCTTGTTCTCTGGTCGAACAGCACAACAAAAGCTCTACAAATTCAACAAAAAGAAAGCCCCCACAAACAAGGCCCGCAACAACCGAGATCAAACCTTTCCACCTATTCTTGCTGAGTGGGTCAAAACCAGTTCCCCAAACAAGTTTTGCAGGTGATCTACGGACTTTGTGGGTAGGTAATTAGTTCTCTGATGCAAATCCAAGAGGCCGTGATGTCTGTGGACACCGAGGGGAGCTCCACTAAGAAGCTCAGTGCCAGCTCGAAGATGGATGGGAGAACCTGTATGGACACCAGCGACAAGGGCGGCGAGTGCTTCCAAAGGTCGCAGGCCGCTCCAAACTACGAACGGAGCGTTCCGACGCATCGCTACGAACGGAACGATCGGGCGCTACGAGGTCCGGTTTGACTGCTCTGTGAAGATCCGACCAAAGGCGCCAAAGATCCCCTGGAAGAAAGGACATAGACCAAAAACTCATTGGGCCAGGGGGTCTCCCCGTTCAAATACACACCCAGGCCCCCAGCACCCGACGATAAACAGGTCTCCGAAATGCAGGCTTTTGCGGTTTTTGCAGACTCAAAAGTCGCAGGTGGTGACCTGTTGGAGGGCCCTGGTATAGAATTTGCATGTTAAAATGTAGAAGACGGGACAATCCAAGGAATTCAAACACCAAAACAATCCAAAACAGGTTGTATCTGTGGTCCACACGTCGAACGTGTTTATCTCTCACGGTGTACCCAACACTAGCATCTGGTTAGGATATCAAAAGCAGCGGCATCACTCAATCATGCTTTGCCAAGGTACAATGAAGAGGTCCTGAGTTGATGATTGGGCGTCGCGTCACAAATCAGGAGCCGTGCAGGTGCAAGGAGTCGTGCAACACAACCATACCCTAACACCCGAGTAGACTCTGGATGGCATGGCCCCTTTAAATGACCTTTTTCCGCTACAGACAGGTGGTGAAAACCACATTCCACTTAATTACATGTTAATCAATCGGAGTGTCCGCATCTGGATGGCTGGATCATCCCTAGCTCCGTCATGGCGTGGACTCAGTTCTTGCTTTTTCCTAGCACACTTTAAACGATCACCGTGGGTGCGGGAGACGAGCTATAGAGCGAAGATGTTGTGCGCGATGTCCAGTCAATGTCCACAACCACCAAATCTCGCGCCGACTATATATCTTTCAATGCAGCGAATCCCATCCGCAGTGTTTTCTCCAAGTGGCTAAGTAGTTCCAGAAGAGGCCAGGGTCTCCTGAGCATTCGCGGCATCCAACCTGGTGCCCGACTGTATACTGCTGCTAAACATATGTCTTGGCCCCAAATCCACTATGCCTTGTGCCTCAGCATGCTGGTATTTTGATGCTTCCGGACCGTCCATACCCGCCCCAGTCCCACGTTCTCAGAGGAATCCTTGGAATCAACAAAGGCATTCAATGGTGTTCATGTAAACCACGACGGACACGCAAAGCCCATAACCGTGTGTTCTGGGGCACTAAAGGTTAGATACCTAGATGCATGCGTTCATATATTGTTCATGACATTCATTTAAACCAATGTAATTCATCACGAAAGATGAAATGCCAATTCTTGTGGATGCTCAACACATCAAACATCAAACACCCTCAGGCGATCCAACGGTTTATACTCCCCGAACAAACTAACAGTTTAACATAGAACCTGAGAATTGACCCGTGGAAGACTATTTTCCGAATACCAACCCAGTAGTTTGGGGGTTCCATGTTGCAGGGGAGTATATAAATCCTTAAATCAATGAAACCACACAGCGGTCCGTTGATGTCCGTTGCATGCTCTGTTGGATGTCCGGTGATTGGACAGCTCAATTCCCCACATTGCTTGGACGGCCCAAGCTGGCTGGGCGAGCGTGTTCTCCAATCCTGATACCGCGTGTTCTCCACACATGAGGTGCCTCTTCCCCCCAATTCAAGGGGACCATCACACGCAAGTACATGTGACAGTACAGCATGGTACAGCCGTTGGCTTAACAAGTCTGGTCCACTTGGAGAGTGGTGAAAGAAGTCCTAAGCCAATGAGGACTGTCACTGCTGATTCAACCCATTCCTGGTGGGCCAGACCAGGGATACCTGCTTTTTATGGATGTGTGAGATACATGAACACAGCATATATCCAAAACATGCTCACCAGTGGAAAAAAAACAAACCAAAAAAACAATCCAAACAAGATGGAACCCACGAACCCGAATGCAAACACGTTCGAAAAACTACATATGTCCAAATGACACTCTTGTAGGACACTCTTGTGGGACACTCTTCTGGGACACTCTTGTAGGACACTCTTGTAGGACACTCTTGTGGGTCACTCTTGTAGGAAATCTTGTGGGACACTCTTGTAGGACACTCTTGTGGGACACTCTTACAGAACACTCTTGTGGGACACTCTTGTGGGACACTCTTGTAGGACACTCTTGTGGGACACTCTTGTAGGACACTCTTGTGGGACACTCTTGTCGGACACTCTTGTAGAACACTCTTGTGGGACACTCTTGTGGGACACTCTTGTGGGACACTCTTGCGGGACACTCTTGTGGGACACTCTTGTAGGACACTCTTGTAGGACACTCTTGTGGGACACTCTTGTGGGACACTCTTGACACTCTTGTGGGACACTCTGGTGGGACACTCTTGTAGGGCACTCTTGTAGGACACTCTTGTGGGTCACTCTTGTAGGAAACTCTTGTGGGACACTCTTGTGGGACACTCTGTGGGACACTCTTGTGGGACACTCTTGTGGGACACTCTTGTAGGACACTCTTGTGGGACACTCTTGTGGGACACTTTTGTGGGACACTCTTGTGGGATACTCTTGTAGGACACTCTTGTGGGAGACACTCCTGTAGGACACTCTTGTGGGATACTCCTGTGGGACACTCTTAAGGGACACTCTTGTGAGACACTCTAGTGCGACACTGTTGTGGGACAGTCTTGTAGGACACTCTTATGGGACACTCTGGTGAGACACTCTAGTGGGACACTGTTGTGGGACAGTCTTGTAGGACACTCTTGTGGGACACTCTTCTGGGACATTCTTGTAGGACACTTTTGTAGAACACTCTTGTGGGTCACTCTTGTGGGACACTCTTGTAGGACACTCTTGCGGGACACTCTTCTGGGACACTCTTGTAGGACACTCTTGTAGGACACTCTTCTGGGTCACTCTTGTAGGAAACTCTTGTGGGACACTCTTGTAGGAGACTCTTGTGGGACACTCTTACAGGACACTCTTGTGGAACACTCTTGTGGGACACTCTTGTAGGACACTCTTGTGGGACACTCTTGTAGGACACTCTTGTGGGACACTCTTTTGAGACACTCTTGTAGAACACTCTTGTGGGTCACTTGCAGGACACTCTTGTGGGACACTCTTACACGACACTCTTGTAGGACACTCTTGTGGGACACTCTTATAGGACACTCTTGTGGGACACTCTTGAGCGACACTGTTGCGGGACACTCTTGGGAGACACTCTTGTGGACTCTTGTGGGACACTCTTGTGGGACACTCTTGTAGGACACTCTTGTGGGACAGTCTTGTAGGACACTCTTGTGGGGCACTCTTGGGACACTCTTGTGGGACACTCTTGTGGGGCACTCTTGTCGGACACTCTTGTAGAAACTCTTGTGGGACACTCTTGTGGGACACTCTTGTGGGACACTCTTGTGGGACACTCTTGCGGGACACTCTTGTGGGACACTCTTGTAGGACACTCTTGTAGGACACTCTTGTGGGTCACTCTTGTAGGAAACTCTTGTGGGACACTCTTGTGGGACACTCTTGTGGGACACTCTGTGGGACACTCTTGTGGGACACTCTTGTGGGACACTCTTGTAGGACACTCTTGTGGACAGTCTTGTAGGACACTGTTGTGGCACACTCTTGTGGGACACTGTTGTGGGACACTCTTGTAGGACACTCTTGTGGGATACTCCTGTAGGACACTCTTAAGGGACACTCTTGTTAGACACTCTAGTCGGACACTGTTGCGGGACACTCTTGTGGGACACTCTGCCAGCTCGCCAGATACTCCGCGTACTAAAGTTGTACTACAAGGTCGCCAGTTCTCAGCTTCCAGCTCCCCAGATACTCCGCGTACTAAAGTTGTACTACAAGGTCGCCAGTTCTCAGCTTCCAGCTCCACAGATTGCTCCGCGTACTAAAGTTGTACTACAAAGTCGCCAGTTCTCAGCTTCCAGCTCCACAGATTGCTCCGCGTACTAAAGTTGCACTACAAAGTCGCCAGTTCTCAGCTTCCAGCTCCACAGATTGCTCCGCGTACTAAAGTTGTACTACCAACTCACCAGTTCTCATCTTCCAGCTCCCCAGAAATACTTCGCGTACTAAAGTTGTACTACAAAGTCGCCAGTGCTCGCCTGCATTTCGCGCGCTCGACGCGCACGATCTCCACAGAGGGTTGTGCGGGCACCGGACAAATCGCACTCTCGCCTGCATTTCGCGCACTCGACACGCACGATCTCCGCAGAGGGTTGCGCGCGCATGGGACAAATCGCACTCTCGCCTGCATTTCGCGCACTCGACACGCACGATCTCCGCAGAGGGTTGCGTGCGCATGGGACAAATCGCGCTCTCGCCTGCATTTCGCACACTCGACACGCACGATCTCCGCAGAGGGTTGCGCGTCAAGTCTCCAAAACGAGCGTTTTGTACGAGACTTCCTCAAAAACTCACACGTCAAAGTCTGCAAAACGAGCGTTTCGTACGAGACTTCCTCCAAAAGTCAAGCGGAAACACCCATCGGAGCACACACATCACGCAGCCCTGCCAAGCAGTTTCGCGATTCCAGCCCCTCCAAACAACATCCGCTCACACGCCAATCCCAATGTGACAGCGACATTCACCTCTACCACAACTCACAACCTCACGATTCCCTGCGCCTGCCACGAATCTTTCCGCGTCCACACGTCTAACGCGCACAAAGTACTGCGCCTGCCACGAAGTGTCACCTCTGTCACACCTCGCAACCTCACGATTCCCTGCGCCTGCCACGAGAATCGCACTTCCACGCCTCAAAACCCGCACGAAGTCCTGCGCCTGCCACGAAAAGTGACAATATCATCGCATGTGAGCTTCAACAAAATTTGCACCACACCACACATTTGGAATGATTTCGACCCGTTCTGAGCACACTCCCATCCACCAAAATCGCCATTTCAGCTGAGACTTGTCACGAAAACCGAGCTTCGATGCCACACCCTGAAATGCAAATCCCAATGGCACGGCCACATCCAACACCCCAAAAACACGACTCTCCAAACGCTAATCCCAATGGAACTGCGCAGCAATCTGCGGATCTCACAAAACGCTGCGCCTGTGCAGCGAAATGCATCACGTTTCTTGCGCGACATGTCCTGGTCATGCAAATCACAATGGAGTAGCGGCGCAAACTGACACGTGACACGTCCATGCAAAGTCACTTGCAAAAGCTTCCCCCAATGGCAGCAAATTTGAGACGCGACGACGACGACAAGCGACGACAAACGACGACAAACGACAACAAACGACGAGACGACGCAAGCCATGCAAACACAGGTCCAACCCCCACACCCCCAACTATAAACGGGAACCCTTCGCTACGCATTCGGGAAAAACCGATGAACATTCACCAAACACAGAACCTGTGCGTTCGACACATCCATCAACGCACCTCTTTGGTCACCCGAGCGGTCGGTTCCGTCACGCGAACCGAGCGGCGGTAGAAGAAGCCGAAACCGGAGCCCAACAAGCGCACGAGGAGCTCCAAACCGAAGATCACCTGAGGCTCGATTGACAAATCGATGCGAATCGGCCGAAGAGAGATGGGAAGAGACAAAACGATCCGGTACATACTTCGTGACTTTTGGTACTTGAGGCTAGCTGAGGTACATCAAGTGAACTTATTGAACTTATAACATAAGTTACTTATAGCTAGAAATAAGTAGAAATTAGCTAAAAATTAGATAGAAATAGCTAGAAATTACCTAGAAATACCTAGAAATAGGTAAACATTAGATATGTCTAAAATATGTGGTTTCTTATGTTTTTTAAATGTTTTTTGCTTTTCCTATGTTTTCGATTTATTAACAAAAAAACGTGCTTTCTCTTGAACATATACCAGTTTCTATAAAACATTTCTATGCGGCCTAAGGGACGCTCTGATGCAGCAGAGCGGCCGTGAGGCCGCTTTCCTTTTTTCTTTCAAGCAGCTAGCCATGTTTTTTGCTAAATGGTTTCGACCATTTAGCATAGTATTCTTTATCTTTACCGCCACGGCGGCGTTTTCGGCCCTCATTGCCCAAGGAGCCCCACTCCTTCAAAGGCTTTTTTCGATGAGCGTTGAGTACTTCGAGGTGTCACCATTCACCTGGATCCAATGCCACTTCATCAGAAAGATCAGATCCGGCTAGATCTCTATTAGAAAAATTGAGCCAAACTTCAATACATCATCCAAATTATGGTTTCAATCTATCTTTGAAAGTGTACACAAAAACTATATATATATATTTACAAATTTAAACATAAAATATTGATTGTTTTTTCTTGATTGAAAATGAATGTATTGAAATGTATCGTAATGTATCGGGTCATCCTGGGGGCTATGCAAAGTAAAGCCAATACATCCAGATACATTCAGATACATTCTGGGGG